ACAAATTTAATGACGTTTTTTCGGCAAGTGTGACATTCTTGCGACCTTTGTCATCCAACCTGTCTGAAATCATTTTTTGACCCATCTTTGAGATGTATGTATGAGATGTGAATGAATAACATGTTTCATTACATGTTTGATTACGACACTAGCTCATGTTTTTTTTTTTCTTTATTGATTTATTCATTGGATCGGAGTGACCATATCTCAATGGATCGACAAATTCATCAACACCTACACTCTCTCCTAATAGACTTGCAAGAAGTAATTTTTCTATATTTATATTTACCCTAAAATAAATGGTTTTGCAATTTATTACTCATTTGTGAGTGTGATAATATTCCATAAGATGTAGAATGATCCATATGACTCTTGTTAATTAAGTCTATATGAAATAGTTATCAACGATGGGATGTGTTTTATAGCATAATAAATTAGAGAATCATACAAAAATAGCTTTGACATGCCTTGTAAGGAGAAACAAAAATTTGGTTCAAGAAGACAAAGTTAATGTTGTGAACGTTATAATCAGATTTTATACGAATGACAAATTTTAAATGATAAAAAATAATATACTGGTGAAAACCAATGTTTACAAGCATATGTATACCCAAAAAAATCCACTCTTAATCTTCCAACATGGTAAAATACATGAAATGGTGATGAGTATTTCAAAAGATTATTAGATTCGATGAAATGGCTATAAAATTCTTTTTATATATCGTGTGCATACCTTAGTCAGAAAGCAGGAGGTATTTTAATACATAATTTCCTTTATCACTTTAGACTGCGACTCTTCAAGTGATCCAACAGTTTGTAATCCTCTTGACATAGACCATTAGTATACACATTGTATGATATTTTATATTTGATATTGCGAGGGTTCTTTGGTTTCATCGCACAAATCGATGGATTCTTCTCAGTTTATTGGGTGCCCAGTAAAGTGAGGTCTTGCATTTTTACAGTCCACTGTGACCTCCATCCACAGAAGTGACATTCTACAGGATACTCTGGTGGTGGAGGCAGGCACTGCAAAGGGCCAAGTGAGTCCTGTCGACATTCATGTGATTCGCAGGTCCTCGGGATCCAACCCAATATGGCATCTCAAGCACTGCAGTTGAAGCCGCCAGTTCTTCCACCTGATCCGTCCTTTACCGTCCTCAGTACGTTTGAGGACTTGGTTTAATGGATTGATGCGTGATGAGGTCTAAACCATGACAATGAGAATGACTGTTAGTTTCTGTAGGTCTACAATCATTTCAGTATGGACTCAAATTCTGTGTATGATTTCGCTTCTGGTCTTCCCTCGCATGGTATCCTTGTAGTGTGCACCTGATCGAGTTCCCCCCACCCTCTACTGTGTACAAGTGAAGATGCAGTCAACCTTCCTCTGGTCACACTGTCTCTACCCACACGCATATTAAAGAATGTAGCTAAAATTGATCTCCAACAATTTCAGAGACCTGAATAGTTTTCAAGCCTCTGAGAGTGGAAAGATTGACCGGCCGAGACTCATGACATACCCGTTTGCACCTGTGCACTGTGTACCCAACGGTTGTGACGAGCCTCCCTTTTCCTTCCCTCTCCCTTTTCTTAATTGCAGAAGATGGAACCAAGTTCAAAGGATGGCAGGACCCTGATGAGGCCCAAAAGGTTTCATTTGATCCGATGTCATTTTAAATCCACCGTCCTCTATCTTTTACTTCGAGTTCTTGTAACTACTTTGTTTCCGGATTAATAAAATCATTGTCACTCATTGTTAAAATCATTGTCACTGCGCTCCCCGAAGTTCAATTATTCCGTGGTTGTGAACTAGGCACCTTGAGGTACTCAAAGCAAGGATTTCACTAACCAAGATACGCAGAGAACGTGACTTCGGCCAAGAGTTTTAGAAGAAAAAGTAAAAAAGTATAAGTAAATAACGTCCATATTTTATAATGGTAAAATCATTATCGGCCTTGACAAATTGGTCTCTCGTATGATGAAGATTAGCAGCCATGGGAATTCTAAGTAATTGTACTTAGGGGACAATTCGCTTTTTTCCTACAAATAGCGATAGTGGTTTTCCTCACCCGGAAACAAAGAGTTACAAAAACTCGTATGGAACATAGGTGACGGTGGACTTGAAGTGCTGTTGGATGGGTTCCATAGGGTAAATTGAAACTGTTGGATTGGATCCCATCAATACTGTACTTCTGCATTCTGCTGGGGTCCTATGAAATAATTCTGTCCTAATAAAATGTTTTTTCCGTTAATATTTTGGGAGCTAATTTATATTGAGTATGAGCGCCAACCCCTAAATGGTTTTGTGGACGACTACTAGCTATATTACTTAGTTATGACTCTTTCCTTTATATGGTGTAGTCTATTTACGGCTGCTCATCACAAGTTTATTGACAGATGTTTCAAAGATGTGTCCCCCTATTCCATAGAGAGTATTTATTTAGGTGGCCTCCCTCGTCACTAAGGGCTCCTCAGAAAAGGGGGAACGCGAGCTCTTAGTGACAAGGGGTGGCCTCAAGTACTATATGAACAGTTTCACTATATACCTTGCGGTTATCTTAGGTGGAGTGATGTATATTTTCCACAGTAATAATTTTGGGGCTTACCCATCGTATCCAGATGTTTACATCCCTGTAGAATTTGATGAGATCTTCCATACATTTTGCAATATTAATTTGAAGATTTTCTTTGATTCTCCATTTTGAAGACTTCATAGTCTTTAAACCCAGGGATATCCACATTCCTGCGAGAATGTTTTGAGAAATATCTATAATTTTTTCCGCGCTTTTGGTGCTTTCGGCCTGTTCCTTGAGTGCGATTTGTCTTTTCCTCTTTTCCTCTATATGATCATTCCGTGTAGCATGGGGCTATCCATCCCACCATGGCCAAGCAACTAAAATACCAGTTGATGAGAAAAACATGTACATCCATTCTTTTGGATCAAAACAGAGAACAGTACAGCATCTGGAAAGTAAAAACGCGGAAACATCAGATTTTCTGTTGGTCACATAATGTCGAAGGCAAGATGAGGTTGTTGTTATTGGATCCTCTCGACATCGTCTGATGGTGGTAGGTGTTGCAAGTTAGCTCAAGCACTTGCCTGACTTCGAAAGACTCCTATCACTTCGGTATGGCGAGGTCCTGCATGCCTCTGGATTGCATCCCTTGCTGATTATTCAATGGCCTAACAGATTATGCACAGTAGAGGATGATGGTAGCTTTCGGGATCCGTAAAGGTGCAGATTTCCAGATCCACTGCCACAGGTAACATTTACAACTTGCACTGTTGAGATCTCACCTAAGAATGATCATCTTAATGTTTTCATCATGGAGAACACCTGACTTGCATCGGTGGAGGCATGGTTCGAGGGCTGTGAACGAAGAACTGCTCACAGAAGTCTAACACTCTTCCATTCCCTAATTCTTTGAAATATGTAAAGCAATGCGTCGCCTTGAGTCCTGGTGTGAAAGAGTGCTTCTTAGAATCACGTATACCCCTAATTTCCACGTTTGATCTGCGGATGTGTGCATATAATACTGAAGGAGCTTACGTGTTTCTTTTTCTGGTCAGATTCCTTGAAAGACCTTCTTTCCTCAAGCTTACTTTTCCTTTGGAATGCTTTTAATTCTCAGTATCATACAGTAAAATGAATTCCAATATGCTTCGTCTCTAACATGTATTCAAAACGATCCAAGTCATAAGTCATGGAAAGTCGGTGCCTGTCATCTGACGTGGTTTTGTTTGCGTGTGTGTATATATATAAATATACATACATACATCTTTCGTGCACGACTCTACCGTGCAACTTTAATGTACGGTATAATACGGTATATGAGTAAAGAATATGCTTCGTTTCAGTTGCTTACGACAGTGCTCCTTGTATGGCTCTCCGATAAACTCTTTACAACTTAGCACGAGGATTAGACTTAAGTTATCAGTATAAAATTTTATAGGTAATAATACTTTGATACCCCTTGAGTAGGTAAAAACATGACACTCTCGTTGTTCTCTTGGTGTCTGTATATTGAGTGTTCAGTTGTGGCGAAATCCGTAGGGCATCAGAAATTTATGCCATCGAATTTACACGTATCGCACTATTAACTTTGTAGGGGTCCGGTCCAGTGGCTGTGTGATTTTTGAAATTAGCATAGTCATTTATAGCGTGCAAATAAAAGTATCAGGTAAGAAACCCGCACTAAGCCATTAAATTACCCGAAAGCAGATGAGTGAAACACTTTAGAACATGTGTTATTCTTTCCAACGTTCATATGATATAATCTTTTTTAGAACAAGTGTTCACATGTTTGAGACATTCATCTAGACATGCATAGACACAACTGGACTCAGTCAGGAAAAAAATTGATCTCTAACTAAAGTTGCGAGTGAAATTTACATACAACAAGCTAATTTCACGAGGTTTTGGATTGAGCTGTGTGTCCCCCGACCCTTTCGCCAAGTTACAGTATACGATAGTCCTACAAAGTTCTGATTCAAGGATGAGAATATTAAACCTGAATCATTCTCTGAAATGTAGAAGATCTTGTCACAAAATTCTATGTGGGTAGCTACAGCGTGTTTCTTGGCAGTTTTTCTTACTTAAGCACGATGACAGATCCTGGTAATATGCTGGTACTAATCCGAGAGTATGTGCTGAAATACGTTTCGGTAATTGCCTGCGGCCACCAAACAGGTTATCGAAAAATCTCCGAGACTTTTATATGTTTCTGTTTGATTCAGATATTAGATAGGACATCTCTTTGGGTTAGAAGCCTGCAAGTTGTGTTTGGGCTTCTTCTCTCAGATTGGCCGTCAACAGTCCGTCATCCGAAACCCTAAACAATCTGTCTGAAGAACTTGCTGAGTGGCAGGTGTTTAAGACCACGCACCACCCAGTGATCCACATCCAGCTTGATCGAGTAGATATTAATACTCGAGTGTTATCAGGCCAAGCGAAACCTTCGCAACTTCGCGCGTCTGAGTTTTTTGTTAGTTTTTTAACGTGAGCAGAAACGAGTCACAGAGAGAACACACAAAAATGGTTATGTACTCCACGTACAGTAGATGGAGCACCTTGGAGCTACAAGTGTTCGATAAAGTGTAAAGTTGGATGTCAGACAAACGATAGAGGGGAAGACTCAACTTCATCTTTCTCGCGCTGTTCACTTCAACTCAGTGTACATATCTCCACATGCACAACAGTGAAAGGTCCTGCTAAAGCATTGCTGCACTCTGGAGATTTTGCCTCTTTGATGTGAAATGGAAAGAGAAGTACCTCGAGCAGGTAACTTCGGAGGCGCCAAGAGAACATGCAGCTATGGGGGTAGCTCCTGACTAGTCTGTACTTTGTAGAGTGCGAGACTGAATCATTGAAGGTTTTGAATGGGCAGTAAAGAGAGCTACGCTAGTAGAGTCATGTTGTTCCGAAATGTTTGGTCAAATCATCACATGATTCTGAAACCTTTCCCTTTTTACACCTTTCGATGCAGATGCGGTAAAGAACTCACAGTAGTCTACTGTATAATGGGAAAGGTCTAGCTTGTCTGCACTGATCATCATTCAACCAACCCCTGTCTTGCCCATGAATTTAATGCCTCTCATATCTCGGAACATAAGTTCCAAACTCTCGTGACGTTCTTGTCTCAATACGGTAGATCCCCAACTCCATCGTGTGAGATGTTCTGAGTGTCCAGCAATCGATTTCCTTCTCGAATCTCCCTTCAACTATCACTCTCTCACCGCCTTTCCAGCCTACCTCGTCGCATGATCGCTGGTAAGACCGTTTCTTAGTCAAGACGTACTCTGTCATCGATTGCTTACCAGCTCAATATGCCCCATCCCGCCGTCCGAGGAGAAACGGGGCATGCACAGTATCGGTGCATGTATTGCGCCAAATATATTATAATCCGGGGATATTCACTTCTTTTGGCGATCTGTGGTCCACATGTGCGTCGACACAGGTCTGTACTGTGCTGCTCTTGCTTACTCCACTAACTGACTTGTGGCATCTGGATGGTGACACTACGACACTGTCAAAGACTTCAGCTAAATTAGCAGGACGTTGAATCCTATCTTGTTTTCTGGTATCCTACTCATAGTGTAGTTCTGAATTGGTGCACGCTAGAATCAATCATTGATAATGTTACAGTCCTGGATCAAAAGTCTGCAAGATTTCTTCTTCTTTGTCTCAGTCCGTCATCATTCTCCACTTGTGGAGAAACTTCGTTCATGCTTGTCCTGTGTTCTGATATCATTGTTGTATTATCATCGTGGATCATGAACGTCTTCACTCAAACGTTTCTTTGGCTCCAGTTTGGCACTTTGCTTCTCACTGGCTTTCAAGCCATGAGATCACGATGCAGTGATGAACATACCGTATGCCTCCTCGCCAAGCATTGCGCAGCCTGAGCTGGGAAGAAATGAAGTTTGGGAAGGGAGGAGGAGGAGGAGGAGGAGGAAAGGTGACGTCCTTTGTGGGCTGGCCTGTCCTCCTCATCGCTGCAGCACCACTTCAGTCCTGATGGAAGTTGACTCCATGAGAACCCGTTGGACTCGAGTCTCCTCCCCTTTCCAGAAGACCATTCTTCCTCGAATTCAATCCACGACCTCTTAAAAGTGCCATGCTCATGGATGTGGATCTCTTTCAGAATGGCTGACGACTTTTTTTTGAAGATTAGCAGTCACCTCTACCGCGTGACTCTATCTATCCAGTCATGCATCAGTAGGTCATGAGCGAATGATACTCCTAAACTTGTACTGCTCGCTACCACAGCTTCATACCTGTATGTCGAACGACGATGGTAGATCCTCTGCATCGTCTAAATCCCTTTCTTTACTCACCTCGTCAGTACGTGAGTTTAAGCACCTCTGTCCATGAATGAGGCAGTACTGGGCAGAAGGGACTGATGAGGATGAGGAATGGATGAAGGCCGAGGGTAGGCACACAAACAAGTACAGTACAAGCAAGCATAGTACTTTGGCTGCCTGCTCAGTGCAGGGCACATGACTGATTTGAAAGGCAGCTAAACATGAGTACCAAGGTAGCTCCAATCTGCTAACCTCAGGTCACTCCGTAGAGTGGAGAGAACTAGACAGGTCTTGGAGGTGATCTCGAGACTCTTGACTCTATTCCCTGGCCGGGGACAGGGAGCAGTGACTTGCAGGGAGCCATGTTAATCTGACCGTAGTCAGTAATTCGGTCCACATGTCATGTACGCCCCGGGCTCGGAGTCTCGTGACGCAGGCTGCTCAGTATCCGGGCCCTGCTGCCTGCGCTGACCAAATCCATAATTCTGGAATTCTGACACAATCCGGTGATCTGCATCTCTTGACTGGAGGATGACTGCGACCGCAAGAATCAGGATCAGCTTGCTACCGTAGTGACATTTCAATTCGCCCACACCTCTGAGCCATATAATTACGCCTGACACATGTGAGTTATAGCTCAAACTTGCAATTAACTCAGAACCGATTCACTCATTCCAAACCCATTAAACACTGCATTCGTGCAGACACTGAAGCAGTAAAAACAATGCAACAAGCTGTAATACATCCAAACATCTTTGATTATTTTTTCTTTAGAGCGAGAAGAATTCCAACCTTGGAGAATGTTTTTGTCTAACACTGGGCCAAAGAGCTCTTATGAGCATGTTCCCTGCGGCATGAAATAGATTGAAGAACTTGAGTTCGTTGAGCCGAGTAATGCAAATCCCTAATTATTTACTTGATGGTATACCATCAAATTAATTGTTTGAGAGGATACATCAAATTTTGTTTTATCAATCACAATGAAAATCTAAACCTTATTCTCTTACACATGATCACTTCGGGATGAGTCCTGCAAATTAGCTACAGGTTTTTCTTCAGAGTCTAGAAGTCTGAATTGTACAATCATGTATGTCTTTGGTTTTTCTTCGATTGAACCGTATCTACCATTACAAAGAGATCCGCTTCCGATGATATGCGATGGGTTAACTCTTTGGATTTCGCTCTCAAAGCTGTCGCTCCGGGAGTGGAGTGGACACCAGTCTGGTTTGCAATGGTCAAAATCTCTGCTATTGTACATGCGTGTAGAAACTGGCTATTGCGAAGATATTGCAGTTTAGTACGCGAAAAATCTCGGGCTAAGATTTTCTTACCTATTCGATGATGAAAGTGTAAAAAGTTTGTTGACACGCGAGAAAACAAATTACCCAAGAAGATCGGTGCAACAGAGTTCCATTTTCTGCATCTACTGTTGATATTAGAACATGAATGATATGTAACCTAGATATGTTTCCATCCCATGAAACGAAACTTAAAGATACCAGTAACCAAGGTGAGGTACTATCAAGTAAATACCAAGGCTACTCTGGATTACCCAAACTTTTGTCTCCATAATTCAGGCATGGTTCAAATCGCTTGTTTATATTTGCTCATAGTGGATGCGCGGAATGGAATGGCAGTACTGTATGCTCCTCGTTGGTGCGCATTTGACTGGACTGTACCTCGGTGTCAGTCCGCTGCCACACAAGGGAACTGTGCAGCAGTTCCCGCTCTCCTCTCTTCTGCGTCGCCTGCTGCTGCTGCTGCCGGCGAGGGGCAGGAGCAGCTGAGGGAGAGCGAGCATGAGAGGGGACAGGTCTGTTTGAATTCGGCTTCCGTAGGCCATGACTACGAGCCGCATGGCAAAATCAAAATCACGCTCTGGCATTTCCAATCTTCTACCGCCTCACTGCTGGAGCATTCACTTTATTCTGGGTCTTTTGATTCGCGCTCAGCCTCGCTGCCCCTCGCCCCTCATCTCCTCCCTCCCTCCCTCCCTCACACATGCCCGCCCTCGTGGACAAGGCTGGGAATCTCGCATTCGTACGCGAATCGCTTGACGGACCGATAGGCGATGCGAGGAATGTGTGGAATGCACAGGATTCTCTTCTCATCGCCACTCCATGGACGCTTCTTCTTCAAATTTCGCAACGCTCGGCACGTTCTCGAGGGGGAGAGAGAGAGAGAGAGAGAGAGAGCCCGAAGTTGGACCGCCGCTTAAAATGTCTTCTTCGGCTGATGCAGACGATTGATCGTTGCATCCTCCGGACTCCATCGGTGCGCCGGAAGCGGCCCATTTCCTCGCACCAGACCTCTCGTCGCCAGGAAGGCCTCCATCTCCACGACCTCGATCACGATCTCCGCCTCGCTCGCCCGCCCGGCGGCGGCTCAACGACCGTCTCCATGGCATACCATGCATCTGAGGGCCGTTGCCGGCCGGCCGGCCTACGACGTCGGGCCGCACGTCGTACCGGTCGCTAGAATGCATTGACCTCCGACAGGTCTGCCCAAATGTGACCGCGAGGTTTGGCTCGAGAATAATAGAATAATAATGCGAAGGCTTGGCTGCCGAGGAACCGTAGTCTCCTCGTGGATCTGGTCTCTGAGCCGGATGGGACCATTCGATCTCGTCGAGATGCCGTCCGGCCTGAGCACAGAGTCCGGAAGCTTGGAGTTCATGATTGCAAGCCGGAGTACAATGAGGAAATGGGGGTCGGGACTCGACAAAGCGTTGTGCAAAACAGCGGGAAGAGGGTCGAGTGGAGCACTGTTGCGGCAGTTCGATTGACTTGCAGACTACGTGTGGAAATGGGCAAAGTAGCGAGTGACAGTGGGACCCGCTCGCGGTTGATTATTATGGCTAAGTGGCTGGGTTGCACTACTTGCATAAAGTTGGCTCGCAGCGTTTGTTTTGAGGTTCGTTTAGAGCTCTGTAAGTCGCATTATGATGTGATCAGAGCAGACGTGACGGGGGCCATGCTTCGGGTTAAGGCCACAGAGGCTGCCGGTCAGAATTCGATACATCATCATGGAATCATGGCACTCACGGTTCGATTTCTCGCAGTCATGCTCGGTTACAGTAATTGCCCGCACAATCTTCTCTGCGGACGTGCTGCTCTGTGCTTAGTCTGTCCATTGACTCGAGTTACGCTCCGTGACCTAGCTTTTTACAGTCTCTCCTGAGAGGCGGCCGCTTCTCCACAGCCTCAGGGAGAATTTCAAGGTCTTACGACGGTATGCGGTCGCGGATCTTCGAGTTGGGTCGAGAAATGTGCTCGGTGGTCGAAGCACTTGCAGCCGTGTTCAGTGCCGGATCAGACTCAGTCGTCGATCGGAGTTCGGTACGAGTAAAAAGTCATCAACCTTACCAGCTCGCGTGGCTCGCAGAGGGCTTTCCTGGATGAAGGTCGTTGCCTGCATTTTCGAGCTTTCAGTCATGAAAACATACGTCTCCCTCTCGCGAAATAGCGCCCATGGATGCGAGTGACAGCTGTTTCGCCCGACAGTTGAGGACGATCGGGCGGAAAGTGCGGATTGTTCAGCGTTGTGGAACTGATGGCCGGGTGACGAAGAAGCTCGATGTTTGATGATGGATGCCATGAACTTACTTCGTTGTACGCGGTACTCAATCCGGCCATTGATTGCACGAGTTGGGTTCGACCAAACAATGATTTACATCAGGACTGGGACGAACGTGAATATACGATTTCTTCCTTACGATATACATCAACATAGACTTCATATATACGTATACCATATCATATCGATGTAGGCTTTCTTTCTCGCAGTCCCCACACGTCATTGCAAAGTACAGTGTGTATAGAGAGTGGTCAAACTACTAAGCAATCAATACATTTGCAGAGATCAATTCATCTAACCCACCGATACTCACTGATACTCATACGTACTTTAAAGATCTCCAGGGAAGTCGTCTTATTGAACAGAATCAGGCCAACGAGCAGCGGCGACCGAAGTTTGTTGTGCATAATACTGAATAAAATTGGCCACCAATTCCATACAAATGACTTCCAAATCCAAGAAATTGTGACAAATATTTTTTTAGATGCAATGATTTCCTTAGGGTAACAACATCCGTAGGTTAATCTCTCTAATGTGTGTTTCTATCAAACCTGCTGCAGCCAATGTTGCTACGCTAATCCTCATTTCTATGAAGACTGGAATTTGATATGAAACCTACCACTAGTGCCTTCAGTGGGGTCTTTGTTCTATTTTGCTACTGAAATTGCAATATGCTTGAAAAAGGTGGAGAAACTGCTCCTTTTGGAAATGAAACCTTATTCTTCGTTGCACTCCTCTTCTTAAAATCGTGGATACTCACTACAATTTCCCAATATGTACTTCAACGAGTTCTGAAGATGCCTTAATAAAGTAAGTGATGCAAGATTTATAGCGGACTGAATACTTCACTATTTACTTTGGTGTTGACTCCCAGACATGGAATATAGTTGTGCTTATGCAGTGAAGAATCATAGCATTCTCATTCTTTCCTTCCATAATAACGTTTGTGATAGACAATCTCATGCTCAAAAGAATTATGATTGTGGACAACCTTGCAGTACCATGCAGTGTGTTTCATCTTACAATCACTTGGACACAAGAAATATAATCCACTGGCCATTAGTAGTCCATCCTGGAGTGATCTATTATACATGAATCTATTGCGAGAACTAAATCGTAAATTCCGAAAACCTCGTGCATGAAATATAATGTTTATAAACTGTAAATTATGTTTGGAGTTGTCTGCATTGTGTTTTTTAACGTTATGACCCTTTGGCTACCACGAGCTTGATCTTTTTACCATTTACTGTTTGTAATCTAATCGAAGCTGCGTGTAGTTAACCTGTTTTGTTTTAAAGTCACTTAGGTTAATACCTTTGCAAGATTTGCTTCTACCCTGTAATTACATACCTCGCTGTTACGCGTTGACTTCAACCATCTCATCGGGTATGAATAAGGAGGATGTGTGAAGTTTTTCAATCGTACAGGTAATGGAATTATGAACTCCGTCAGCCTAGACACTAATATCGAATAATAATGTCTTCCTCCACACAGGCCATGATGGGTGCTTTTCCGCCGTGTACCATCTGGGGGGAACTGCACAGTCATCTCTGCCTGCGCTTATATTTGGAGCAGGTGCAGTTGTTTTTTGACTCCTTCGCTTCCTCTCTGAACAGCTGCGTTTGCTTCGTAATATAAAATCTTCAGTTCATCGGAATTGCCTCCGCCTTGCTCTCTCAGCTAATCCAGGCTCTTTTCATCGGCATGGGAGTTGTATAGCCCTTATTTTTTAAATTAAGAATCTTTAGAATCTTTATTTTTATCTTAAAAACTAAATATTCTCATGGATATTTGGTTCTCATGAAAGTACATACGAAAATAGAAATACACTTAGTAATACATTTGGTAAAATAGTCATGACAAAAATCTCATCAGACCTGTTCAAATAAAACACTATTTACTAACTAAATGATCTCCAAACTAAAAAACTTCAATGCATACTTGTCACCGAATTATAATTTTCTTTTCTCATTAGTATGTATCTGTAAATTTATTACTTTATCACGAATTATAAATATTTCGATGAAAACTTGATTCTCATGAAAGTTCAAACAAAATTCGTTTTTTCGGTTACATTTTTCAAAAAAATCTTAAATTTTTTATCAGATCCGTTCATTAAAAGCACTCAGTACGCACTAGATGATCTCAAATATAGAAACATCAATGAATACATGTCACCAAATAATGCTTTACTTTTCTCATTAGTAGTAATATTTTAATTTTTTAATTCTTGAGATAATTTCATGAGGATTTTTTAAAGGTTGATGAAAGATTCAAATTAACTCCTAATGAAACAAACAAGATAAAAAAAAATTCAAGTTTCTCATATCAAACACATTGAATGGGATAGTTATATCAGTTAAAGAAGATTTCATGTAAATGAATTAAACATTAAGAATATATATATTTGTTGGAGTTTTCTTTGTCATGAAAAAATCGAAAGATAGTATCGATCATCTTCAAAGTCCAAGTTGAGACAGTCCTCATTCAACAACTAAGGATTTTGTTTCAATCAAACCATCAATGCATTATCAGATAGTCAACTACACAGAAAAACACACTAGTCTGAATAATTTTTGAAAAATTGCTAGTCAGCGCCCTTGGTTTCATTTCTAAGATATAAGTAAGGCAGGATTCTGTGCTCAAATTCCATCGTCGATGTATTGAATATAAATTCTCATAATTCTACAACAATTGAAGGTCACATAGCACATTTGTAGCCCATTGCAGTCGTCCAAAGTCTTTATTTTATATCTTGAATCTGCATCTCTGCGAAGACAAATCCGAGGTGAAATCACCATTACGGTCTGGTGTGGATATATTGAAGATTGCATCGAATTGCAAAGATTTACATGTCATCTTTGAATCACGGGTAACAATGTGTAGCATATTCCAGTATTTTCGCATATAAATGCTCATAGTTGCAGACCAGTTGATTGTGTTCCGTCGTAACATTGGTCAAGAAGAAAGTTCTAATTCCGTGGTTACCTTTTCATCTGCATGTAAATGGAATGGAATGGAGGCGCGATCTGGTTGCATTCAGAAGAATCATCGGTCAACAATGGGGTCTCGATGGGAAATCTATAGGTGTAGTCATCTCGGTATGCATATTGTTGTTGGATTATCTATTTTCTTCATCAGATCCAAATGTAGGTTCATCTAGCGACTATTAGGCAAATGCTCAAACAGGTATCAATTTCAGCCTAGATTCGAAGTGGCATGAAAATAAAGGATCGTGATGCAGGAATTCGAAGCCACATTTAACTTCAGTCGAACCACACCGAGTTCTAGATGAATTGGAAGATCAACTTTATTAGTTTCATGAATATCATCTCCGGCGAGATGTCAAATCTTTCTCTTATCCTTGGTCAGGTAATCACGCGGAAATCCGTGGAAATTCCTATAATTTAGCAAGATTATTTTATCGTAAGGAGCGACGAACACAAGACAATTACTGAGATTTACCCGGTGATTTCTAAAATTCAAACCATTTTCCATGGTAGCTCATTTCTCATCTTTTCACGACCACCTGTCTTAATCCACGGGGACTTTGAGATTGGTTGAAGATTTTCCTAACTAGTAAGAAGAAGAGCTATTCTCAAAGAAACAAACTGCACCCAACCTAGCTATGCTCCACTGGTGACATCGGTGTAGAGAATGTTCCAATTGCCAACCATTAAGAGCATCGTCCTTTGAAATAAAATTTAAATCGAGATGGATAGGAGTAGAGCAGGGGTGAACAATTCTAGAATGAAGTGATGTAAGTGTAGGTTACACTTACATAAATGGACTGCACGAAATATCTTCATAATCCGGTCAAATACTACGAAGGTGAGCGCAATTTTTTTGTACATAGATTCTCCAAGCTTGTTTTGCAAGCACGAGTGCATCTTTATTAAGGATGCTCATATCTATCTTTGGGCAAAAAGTGAAGAAAATATTTAAAAATTTATTCTCGGTCTTTGAACAATATGAGGGATAAATCGAAACATGCTTGGAGATACGTATTCCAATCTACAATATCGGAGTGAATACTAGAAGTATGAAATTGGCGGACTGTCCGGGACACAGTCACCACCGACTGCATGTAACGAGACTTCTAATGTCGAGGTACTATGTGCCCTAAAGCTCGAGTTCTCATGCTGGTATACAGTGGATGCACCTTGAGGTATGCTGTCAAATCTTCCTGTGTAGGGGCATCTCAGATTGAAAACAATCGACTATACAATATTATCTTTTGGTGTCAAAGGGTAAACGAGACACAGGAATATGTATCAAATCAATGCAAATCAAGCAACATATTCACCAATGCAATAATTTCTAGTCAATATAATTCTCAGATTTGAACATGGAGTTCCTTACAACTTAGATGGTAGAAATTTAACCGCATGTTTTCATTAGGCAGGAGAGTAATTTGATGCCCAACAACCATTTTGTCACTTCATATCAAACGACACGTTCACAAATGCAAGTATTCTAGTCGGATATCAATTTCAGATTTTAACATGGATGTAGTAGATATTCCTTAGATGGTAGATAATTTTTTTGTTACTTTTCATAGACCGGAAAGTAATATGATGCCCGCCAAGCATTCTGTAAATTCACGAGAGAGAATTTGAGAATATTCTTCACATGTTGAGTAGCATTGCTAGGGAGGAGCTTCTCGAATCAGATTCTCAAAGCGAGAGCATTGCTCATGTTTTCAGCAGGTTTTCTTGAAAGTGTGTTCTGGAGTTTCAACTAAGCAATTTCTATCTCTATGAAGGGTGCACTTTCGCGGCCAAATGCAGAGGCACATATCTCTTACGTCAACATCCACTCTTCACCAGTTTTTAAAGGATGAGAGCAAGCGAAAGCAAGTACAGCCCTGCAGCTTGGTCTCCATCCGTGGTCAAAACATTACACACGTCTTCCGAGACTTAATCCGATGCCTTGACGCACCCGCTCAGTGTACAAACTCCACCATAATCGAAGCGGGACATTATAGAGTTGTAGATTTCAGCAGATTGAAACGTCAAAGTCGCGAGCCTTTTGAAAGGTCGTAAAGATCTGTATCATCTTATGCTCCATCAAGTTTTTTTAAAATCAGGAGAAGGAGGTCAAGAACGACAGCAGAGATTTCAAAAGCTACATTCTTAGGCGGACTTTCGATAGATAAGGTGGCATTTCAGAGATTTCCGCTTCCTACTTCGTTAATCCAGTCTTCAGCGATCCCAGCTTGCATCACACCGTGGTGCGTATTGAGCTCTTCCAGATCTGCTTCAGATCAGGTGCTGATATTTATCAACTGCATGGATGTTCTAACGTGAAACGATTGCCACTTCCTCATTGTTTTCAGCACAATAAGAAAATCTCTCTGGGGCCTTGTGAGCATAGGAAGCTGTTTCCAGTCACATATCCCGACAATGGTTTAAACATGGGAATACTCTCATAAGATCCAGCCTTGTGTCAAGGAAACCCCATTCCCTAGGCCCTCTATTGGCAACCTTGTAGCCCAGAGAGCTCTACAATGGAACCTCCTCACATGCTAACGAATGAAAGTACATGTTATGGCAGGCCTCCATCTCCTGCAGAAAGAGAGGCTCTCGGAGAAGATTGGCCGGTGAAAATTCCGGGATTCGGAGTTGAGAATAGTATGCACACGATTTTATGTCTGTACGAAGATCGCTGGAAATACAAATGAGTGAACAACGTACTCTGCTCGACGCTGATGCATCGAGCGTAGAGGACCTGCTCGTTCACTTCGAGGAGGTTAATCAGATGAGTGCAGACCATGATCACATCACCGATCAGGTTCGATTCTGTCTCCCCAAACTCGACCTGGAGAAGAATGTTGGAAGCATTGTGGTCGTTACTGACGTTGTCTGGATACCTCCAAGTGCCCGAAGCACCCAACTCTGTGACGGCTCGGAAGAAGTTGAAGGCATAAGCTTTGTAAGAAGGAACCGTCAAGCAAAGCAGCTCACGAGCGACGCGGGTCAAGTGCACGTTCGTCTTCTCGGTGCCGAAAAGGACGGCCCACAAGATGTCCTTCGTCGATCGTAGAACCTCTTGATCCGACTCGGTTCGATTGTCATCGGTAAGAATGCTCGTCCTTTGACTGGGAGCACTAGGTCTCAGATAAGCTTCTTCGACCAACCGAGTCCTATCGCACAGCAGCCAGTTCGCTTTGGCCCAGTCCAGCAACTTGCATTCGTCGACGCCGCTTCTCTCCACCCTGCGTACGATACTAGCCTGCTGATGTTCCTGAATTTTCTTCACCACTTTCTTCAGCATTGAGTTGCTTCGCTTCGTTTTCTCTTGCAAGTGTTTCGTCTAGCGATCCAGCACTTTTATTCTTTCCTTGGCGACGTGTATGCCCATGCTTTTGAGCAGGTCGTGATTCATATGTACCACGTCCTGCTCCCCGAGCATGTTCTTCTCGAATTTGCTTGCGTAATGCTCCATTCCCACATCACTCAACCACGAAAACCAACAGAATTTATGCTCGCCTCCACCCATACCTCCCTCCTTTCTTCCGGCCCTCATTCGCAAGGTATTCCTTTACACCACAAGCACACACTGCACACTGTCAGTCAACATAGAACCTAAAACGCATGACAAATGGCCAAAACATATCCTTACGACAAAGTATAGTTATCTGCTGCAGTTCTATCGAAGCTGCACTGGATCTGCGTATGGAATCTGATCCAGTGCAGCTGACTTTCACTAGCGCTCTCGCTCTCTCTCTCTCTAGCGACCAGCTTGCTCGGACAGACTGCAGGTTTTCTTGCCACACATGTGTAATGAATACCTGGGGACAGAATCGAGGAGGTCAGCCGTTGGCTGGAGGATCGAACAAGGCACAGGCTTCAAACTTTCATCGTCAGGCTGATATGACGGAAGAGCCCTGAGGTTTTATATGTTTCGTCACATGTTAAAAGTGGCGCTACTGACTGCAGCTTTTGAGCAATACGTAGATTTGGAATACCGACTCAGACTCAGAACAGACATGCTGCACGGACATATAAGGGCAGCAAACGCAATCGGTTCTCCGCCTATTTGCTTTTCGGAGTCGTGGCGCAACGGAAAGTCTGTCCTTGTCCGAAATCAAGGGAGTGCAAATAACAAATGGGAAATCTATGACGAGAGTCACAAGTAGGTCTCCTGTGGTCTCAGTCTCCAAACTAATGCATGTACTCGACAGGGCCTGAGCCTGATCATATCAAAAAGGCAACTACCAACTACTTCGATGTGTGATGCTTTGAGTGGCCTCTTTGTGTGAGAAGGATGTACTGAAGTGTTCCAGAAAAAGAAAGTCGTGGTCCTAAGCCGTTTCAGAGATAACAGACAGAAAAAATCTTTGCACGACCTCCTGGAATGTATCTGACGATAGAGACGACTTTTGTGTGCTTTACACCCGTCGTCTTACTTGAGGTTCTGCCAGATGCGAGCCCGTTTTAGCAATACAGAGCAATGATTCCTCAGACTGTGAACTGGCACTTCGAGAATTGGAAGTGAAAGCTTGAGGCCAATTTAACCGCCTGCCACACTGTTCTTCCTCGCGTTCGAAAATCACTCGCCCTTTCTCATCTCAGGCCAATGTACGTGGATATGGCACACTTGGGGTCTCGGTGGGACTTATTTTTTACTCTCTCGTTCATTGTCCTCTGACGACAGCGTTTGACAAGTTTTGCTGGTCCTGTAGGAGAGAACTTCCCAGTATATGCCCAGTGCATGTACTGGTTTTACCAAAGACTCTTTTTCCGGCCTTCACGAGTCTTCCCATGGGCATCCTCGCAGTTGTTTTCAAGTTACTAAAAAATGCTTTTAAAATTTTGGCTTCGTTTAAATAATGTCACTCACGTTCATCACAACGATTCCAATCGTATGAAGACTCCGAATCGTGATCTTTCGAGACGACAAGTGTGCTGACAACTGCCGATGCCATCGAGAAAGTCCATGACCCATCTTGCATGCGGTTTACTTGTCATAGCACAAAGAATCATTGCTAGTCATAACACAATCTCGTTGAACTGATGAAACAACAGATAAATACCAAAATGGAGCATAATGGTATAGACTCAATACCACGAATAAAAAAACAAAACCAGAGATTGAAATACTATCACGTTTAACATTCTATTGACGAGTTTTATTTCTCATGCACATGTGACTCCCAAAAGCAAGTGTTAAATCTAAGCTCATACAAATTCAGGGTGTAATCACATCAAAATCCTGAAATACATTTGATAAACAACACAGAACCACAAGCGAATTTGCACTTGATATTCAGGGGGAAACTTCTCAAGGTTACACGTTTAGCCTGCTGCAATTAGCAACCAATTTACAATTTATTAAACCAATTTATTACCAATTTTGCTTAAATCTTGAACTACAGTATGCACCACTCAGATCATCCGAGTTGGCTACTCTACTTCAAATGCGATATCTTCGACAAACCGAAACAATTCTTGCACTGTGACAAAACGCATAACTCACAGAAGTGCGGAGAAATGCAGACTTAGGACTGAGAACTGTCTCATAGAAAAGCCCCCAAAGGTAGAGACTTGGACCACTTTATTCACAACGAACATCGTGAGGCATCATCCGTTAGCTGCGAGCCCCCATTAGATGCGAAGTACACTGATGCATTAGTTGCCACACTAGATGCGAAGTACACTGATGCATTAGTTGCCACACCCGTAGAGCTCCTAAATACTTCTATCCTACTCAGAACCGCTGTGAGCTCTAACTCTAAGTTCTCCCTAGTCTCTTCTAAACTAGATATGAAAGAACTAACTATTCTACATTATTGTCAATGTCCTATCACCTCGCTGGTTTCCAGTACTCTCAATCTAGGCTTTAACAATTCTAACTTCAACCACTTTGTGGTCTGGATCTCGTACTCCACATAACTGCGAAGAGAACGTTCTACTCTAGCTCGCAAACCAACATCTATCTTCTGCTCTAGACGTTTGATGGTCGTCTCTGTGTCCACTAGTTTTGCCTAAGCAATGGCCAACTGCTACTCAACTACCGACAGTTGAGATTGTAACCTCTTGCAATCTGCATCCAACTCTCTTCAGCGCTCCAAAGACCTGGCAGCCTCGCAGGTATCTAATGGATCCTCCGAATAAGCTACTTCTGCAACCACCATCCACTCTTGTGCCACCAGACGTCCCCAAAGACCTGGCAGCCTCGCAGGTATCTAATGGATCCTCCGAATAAGCTACTTCTGCAACCATCATCCACTCTTGTGCCACCAGACGTCCGATCATTTGTTCCGCTCGCTGAAATTCTCTCTGAAACATTCCTCGAGACTCCTTCAATCCGTCCTGAAGTTCCTCCTTTGTCTTCTAAACTGCGCGAACTTCAACCCGAAGGTCCTTGCATTCATGTTCCTTCTGTCTACGAAGACTACTTTCAGCAATTAACTCTCGCCGAAGATGTTCGCACTCCAACTCCTTCGCTCGAAGTTGCTCTTCTCACTCTTGCAAGGTAACTGTCACGGTTGCACACTCGTAAGTCAAAATTGCAATCCGTATGGTCATCCCGAACGGTTGTTGCCGCCTTTGACTTCGTCTGTCTACGCACCAACACTACATAAGAACCCGCCGAAGACGCTGACACTAAGTATTTCACCATCTTTCTATCTAAGAACTTCACTATCGAAACAAGACTCTCACTCAAAATATCCAACAGACTAAACTCTGCCGACTTCTGCTTACAGATCAAATGCCCTTCGCCCCGATCAAACTCCACTGTCTCTAAAGACACTTGACACAAAGGCAGCGTTGGTTTTTCTGTAACTGTTGCCGCAAACTGCTTAGAAGGTTCTTCGTTCGAATGAGAAAACTTTGAAGACTTCTCAATCTCTTCCCGCACGTCCGAAGTTCGTTCGCCCGAAGACCAAGAGTGTTGATCTGAAGACTCCATCTCGGTCTTGTCTTCTTCCTTTTCGCCTTCTGCCAAAGGCTTCTCCTTATGCACATTCGAAGATCGCCACTTCAAAGGCCATTCGTCTTTAGTTTCTGTATCATGCATTTCCACTGCAGTCCAATGATCCGAAGATAGCTGAGGTTGCGACGTAGTCTCGTTGCATTCTGCGTTGTCCAGTACTTCCTTCCTTCTGCTTTGTGGATTCACCTTACTGAGAGCATGCATATGTGTCATCCTCAACCGCACATGTGCAGGTCTTTTGGTCCACAACCCGCTACGTCCAACAACATCTTCCGTAGCCGAAGGCGTCTGCAATCTCCTTCGCCTCTTCACAAGTGGTTCCTCAACATCGTCGTCTTACATGTCAACTTCGGCTGAAGGCCGCGCAGGTTCAACGTTTTTATCTTTGTTGACAACTTCGTTCTCTTCCAAAGCTCCTTCGTCCTCTAATCTGATAATTTCCCTTTCGAGCAGGAATTTTCTATTCTACTCCTCTGTCAGCAATTCCATACCTCAATAGTGATTGTAAAGAACGGGGACAAATAAATTTGCAGTTCCTTGAACTTGTCATTGACATTCCTGTCATTGACACTTCACAAGATCCGAGTTCTATGAATTGGCTTCCCTGTCACCGCGCGTTCCACAAATCCTACCTGCCAAGACGCCATGTACATCGTGCGCAAAGGCCTCAAATTCTGTATTAGTGCCACTGCCACATTGTGTCGCTGCGGGTCGACGTAATCCGTTGTCCGCCATCCATTCTTGGTCGATCAAGGCGACTTAAACAACACTGCAAATGTCTTCTCTTCTTGCTGACTCACCTTTAGGCTCTTGTGATCGTAAAGCAAATCGCCTTCTTAGGCATTATTTTTTGTTCCTAAAGGTTCATGCCAACCGCTCCAATATTGACATGTCTTTCCATCGCCGGGATAGTTTGATTACAACAAGGTCATGAAGTTTATATTCATAGACTTTGGATGACCACTAATGTGAAAAACCGCGAAGTATTATATCATAATATGTGACACTTGCTAAAGATCCAAGATCTATTATCATCAGGGTTTGACATTCCCCCGGGATTCCCCCAGGAATAGCCCGATCATTTCCGCGACAGGGGGAGAAACGGGGGGACAACCGGAAGGAACCGGTTCACCCCCTAAAAAGACTCGGGGTTACACCCGGAGTCTTTTTAGAGTAAACCCGGGGAGACCCCAGGTTTTACCCTAAAAAAAATTATTTTACCGGCGTACTGCGTGGAAACCCATAGCAAAAGTAGCACAGACTTCTTGGGACAGCCGAATAGCCCAGCGATGCGGCGAGAGGCAGGGACTTCTTGGGGCAGCCGAATAGCCCAGCGCTGTGGTGAGAGGCAGGGAGCGAGACGAGAGGGAAGAATTTTTTTTCCTGCTTGCGTGCGCTTCTTACATTTTTGGTGCTGCTTTTGCTGGTCGGGAGCGAGGGAGTGAGGCCGGGGCACAGAGAGTGTAAGAGGTGACAGACTTCGGAGGGACCCACCTCTTGATGCATACGGATACAGTCTATAGATACGAAATCTTGAGCGTGCAGATGCAGCAGGGGCACATACTTCGGAGGGACCCATCGTGTAAGTTTTCTCGGGTCGCAGCTTGTTCGGCATGTGCACCAAAACCATATGAACGACATACATCTATGGATACGATCACTGTGACTCCGATGTACATTTTTCAGGTACCTATTCACCTCTTTGATTGTTTTCTCAACTCGCCCAGCAGATGAGATCTTGGACCATATATTATCTGCAGTTCAATGATCCAAGCTCTTCACTTCGTACATGACACACATGGATGGGTACCAATGGATCGTAGGCACTAGTGGCCCTAGTATTTTGGTTCCAGTGCCAAAGAAAGAAGTACGGAGGACAACTGTTAGAACAAAAAGAGCTTTGTAGACGTAGGGCTTGTGACTTGGTCAAGGACCTGGGTCCTCTCAGTTTTGG